TACAATATTCATATGGCAAGAGACCACACATGGTTGAAAAATGTTCCTGTAGCTGATCTGATTCAATAAAAGTAAGGTTTGATATAAATCATGTTTGACTACTAGATAGATAGTTATGACTAGTAGATTTATTCATATCTTCACCATGGAACACATTCATTCTTAATTGTCTTATTTTTCAGAACATTGAGGTATGCGAAGCTGAGGATTTTTTCCTCATGACTCATGGGAACTAAGATAAGTGTCCTGATATTGATTCAAACTCTAAAAATCTTCACACCCACGGTTTATCAATCTTCATCTTTTATTTTCTGTTCAGCAGATACAAACCAAAGATAGCAACGGATCAATCATGTATGATTCAGCAGGTTGGTGCAGTTGTCCTTGAATTTTGTAGTTTTTTTATCTAAAGGCATTAATTTCTTTATAATGTCCTTGATATTCTGCTTCCTCCAGCCCATTGCCTGATCTCTCTTATTCTGGGTCCATCTTTCTACAAGGAAGATTTTTCATGTCTCAACCATGTCCTTATTCCTGTTAATATGCCATTTAGATGAGGAATGATCAGAAATTAGTCTTTGTTCTCTTTGTTAGACTGCAGATGATTGCTCTACTCAAGCCTACTACATTTGCTCTCACAGCGGGATTATAGCTGTGTGTGAGCTGATTACCTGCACAGCTGCAATTTTATTTCATGCTTTATTACAAGAGATAAATATGTAGCTTAGTGTGGTTCTGAGTCCCCAAGTCCTCTGGCTTATCAGTACCTGATTCTTCTGACATCTTAGGTTAGATGGGCACAGAGGCAAAATTCCTTACTGTTCATCAGATGAGGTCTTAATCTGACCATTGAAGACAAGAGCTAACAGTGTTCCACAGACGTAATCAACTGATGGGGATGGCCCTCGTCAAAAGAAGTCTGTTATGGGATTGAAAAAGAGAATAGATGCCTGTTTGAGTTATCCTGATTTGTGAAAATGATGAGACTTTCTGTTCAAAATTTCACCAATGATTCAGTCAGTTCCTATTTTGTAAAACTTTCTTTCCCCAGAACAAAATCTAATGGTGCAATGTCATGGTTTTTGTTTCTTTTCCAAGTGATGCTGAATCATTGTAGCAGACAGGATGTTTACAAAATCAGCATGTCATTTAAAATTCATATTCCCTTCAAAATCTGCCAGTACCCTTGCTTACTCTTACAGTATCAACTTTGCCAGGTACAGTGGCTAAAATTTTCCAGAAGAAAAGTGGAAGCAAATTTGTTGCTTGTACGTCATCATCACATTTCAGTTACTCAAAACATTATGGTAAGTAAAAACTTTACAGAATAAAAAGCAACAGAGAATATGGCTCTTTGGGTAACTCAGTGGTCAAAGCTATGACGTTCTAGCACTTGAGTGCATTACGTTCTTAATGCAGATTTTAGAACTTAATACAAATTCTTAGATGATGCTAACTATGCTATTAAAGGATGCTGGAACTCTGAAATTTAGAACAAGGTCACTGGCAGCCTCTAATGAGACCATCTTCTTAATACAAGGCTAATTATTTCTTGATGGAACAGTCTGTGATAATAATCACCATGCTTTTATATGGAAAAGAAAGAGAGCATGCAGGAGCTGAATTAATATTTAGCAGCTCAGAAATGTCACAGAAACAGAATCAGCTAATTTAGATATGTTTGTTGATTTCCTGTCCACTAGATAATAGCAAACATTTTTGCATGCTATTTTATGTCATTCATTATTTAAATAGCTTGATGTTATTCTTGTTGGCATAACCGCACAAGTAGAAACTCAAGAGAAAGCGCTTGATTTTTTCTTGATATTAAGAAACATATAGACACGGGAAACTGGGAGAAACAATCGAACAGTAGATGATACTTCCTCAAATAACATTTTTTTTTGACAAAGCAGCTGAGGTCTGATATTCTTTCTGCAATCTAGGATTCAAAATTATTTTCAGTTTAAAGCAAGAGTAAGAATGGGCTCTGATGCCTGGTAATTGCTAGCTCCACTGTATTTTAAATTTCTGTAGTTCTGTCTAACCTCATATGACAGGGTACCATTGCTAAAAGTCTCTGTCTTTCATCAAGCCTATGAGCCAATTCATTGTTATACGGAGTAGATACATCTTTACTAAGGGAAAAGAGCCCGAAAGTACAAATAAAATCCGTGTGAGTTAGAAAATGGATGGTGTTATTTTTTTTCCAGGATCCTCTTCGTCAGTCCTCTGATAAATCTGTCTGATAGCAGGTTTCTTATTTTTAAACTCAATCAATAACTTAAATGTGTTGAATAAAGAGAATAGTTTATATTGCACTGCAACTTTTGTTTTCATATTCTCCACCAAACAATTCAAATGAAGGCAGCAATAGGAGTTAATTAACAAAATACTTAATATCCCAGGCCCAGTATTCATACCTGTTAATAAACTTTAATTACAGAGATAAAATTAAGGTAGGGAAGCAAAGTTTTGCATTGCCAAAGATCTATAATATGTTGCTACTGCTTGGTGATTTGAAGTAAAATTTCAGGAATGTATTTTTTAACTTTCTACTTTAAAGAAATCTTATTTCAAGTGAGCTGAGGTTGTGACTGCTCCTTTGCTGACTTGAATTTTCAGTTGTTGTTTGCATTACACTAAAACATTTTGGACTATAATAGAAAAAATATTTTTCTTTTGGCAGCCTCAGGGAAGTTATATCTGTGCTCATGAGATTTCTCAAAAAGCAAAACATTGAAGAAAGCATATTAAATAGCGACAGCTTAAAGAAACAATTGTGACATTATACAGTGAAATATCTTAGTCAAGAAGTAAGATACATACAGGTTTCTGTTAACCATCAACTTCATTTTCAAACTAGTAAACTGTTCCAGGAAGCATTCTAATTAGACAAGCTTCTAGGAATGCAACAAAAGTATACTTTGAACTATATAGATATTTTCATACTTCAAATAAATACATGGTTGCTATGTCTTTTGGATCCCCGTACATGAGAAATAATAATTTTATGCAGTGTGTGTCAATGTACCTGGCCTTAACTTGCCAGGCATTGAATCCACCAGCTGAAATGCACACGTGCCTCATTATTTACTTACTAAATCATCTGCTGCACGTATTGAGCAGATGAATCTGCAAGTCATGGGACCGTGCATCCCAGCAGATATTCAAGGCAAAATCATGGTAAAAGCATCTATTTTTCCTGTTAAAATCTACTCAGATCTACATTTTCTGATATTACTGATAAAATTTGGGTTTACTCCTTTTATCCCAGCAATTTAATACAATTTAACTGTGATAGTTTATGGGTGTTAGGTATGTGTCAGAGGTAGACTATCTATTAAATTACATGTCATTGCTATGAAAATTTGTTGAAGGGAACAGTGTTGAGCTGGTATTTCTTAGGCATATTTGTAAAATGATTTGTAAAATGAAGGACTGTGTATTCCAGAGCTGGTTTGTAGTAAAACAACTGTAACACAAATTGAAATGAATTCATGTACAAGACCACATTACAAAAATATATCGTCTCTTTCATTGTTTGTAATACTCTTGTTGTAAATGTGAACCTTCACAAGGGTGCATATAAGGTCCCTTCTCTGACTCAGGCTTTGTTTTAACGTGGTTTAAACCTTCTGGAAGGTAGGACCTTAGACTTTAACAGCAAACTCTGCCATTCTAAGAGGATGAAAGACAGATCCATGAGCCCTGTTGTGAACTCTACCATGTTTCAAGTGCAATTGTCTTCTCTTGACTCAAAATATGTGACAACAGCTGTGCTCAGCCTTTCTGAGGAGATAGGACAAGGGGTCCCCTTGGAAGCAGCTGGTTGCTCTCTGTACCTCCATCAAGCTTGACGTAACACAAATGCGTGTGCCTGTTGTGTGTGTGTAGGTGTGTGTCCATTTTGTCATGGCTCCTCGGGAAGGGGGTGGCTATGAGTAGTCTGCAAACTGCTAGAGCAAGTCATCAGCTTTATGAGCTGCATCCAGATGACAGCAGTTTTGGGAAAGAGGGCAGTCGAGAGTGAGTCACAGGCTTAATTAAGTGGTCTGGGAGGTCATCTTCCTTTTTGAGATACATGAAATGAGAAGAGTGATTGGTCAAATAAGCTGAAGTCAAGGGAAATCCTGTTGAAATCACTAGTCCAACCATTATTTGTTATAAATATCTTTGGCACTAATTTGGAAAAATGTTGATCAGCTCCTAAAAGCTGCCCTACCCTTCTCCAGCAGCAAGTGGCCAGTACAGTATCACACATAATAACTCTGCTAAGGCCACCATTGTGGCATTGTGGGTCAGGTGGGGAACAGGTACAGTAGAGCAGTGATGAAGAAGAAAGTTCACTCTTGTGAAGATGCAGTGAACAGTAGACTTTGCATCTGGGAGTGGAAACGTGAGGCTGTGCCCCACACATGACTTGCTGTGACAGATCTCCCTCAGTAGCCTTCACCCAAGACAGCACTCACAGGTAGCATGAGCGTGACCGTATAATAGCGTTTCACCTCCCTCACAAGCTATCGCAACTCTCCCCACACTCTTCCTTTAGCTTCTCTTCATCCACATGCCCTAATGTGCAGCCACTGGTCACTATGCCTCACACTATCAGAAGTCCTCCACGTGAGACTCTCCTGCAGGGACTCTCCTGCATGCAGGAACGCTATGTTAAGCCCCTGAGGCAGCTGCTGTGCAAGTTGGCTCCCAAGCCGGCAGTGATACAGTCACGTTGGTGTGGCATTGACCTCCCCTAGTTAGTCCCTCCGAGGTGTGTTCTTCATAATTATGTCTCCATAATTATTTCGTTCTCCGGTGTGGCAGTAGGGAGGCACACGCTGCCCCAAACACCATGGGAGGAGTGGTGTGTTACCTTCTGCCGCTGTGTGCCTGGTGCTTGTGAAAAGCCCAGAACAACAGGGAGAGGGAGGGCAGGAAGAGGACCCAAAGGTGTGTTCCTTCAACACCTCCTGCTTGGCACTTGAGCCCTGGTTTTACGATGGTCAAGTGTCACAGGGGACCAAGTTACAGGGTGAATCAAATTCTATATTTAGGAAGAACAACTGGAAGCTATGACAGGAATTCCCTTTTACACTTCGCTTCTCAGCTGAGTCCCACTCCAGCCTGGAGCAGCTCTCAGTGCCGTCCGGCTGAAAGCATCGGAGCTATTTCAGACACATTAAAAGGATCACAGTCAATACCTCAGCTGGTAGAAGAAGGTACCTCTTTCAGCATCAAAAGGAGGTGCACAGACTCACTTGACGGTTTGGAGCTTTTCTTATATAAGTAAATAAGTAAGCTAATCTTGAAGGGGTCAATTAAAAACTTGGAAGATCCTTATGAAAACTCTTTAATAACTGCTGTGAGGTGACTACATTAGTTGTAGGTTTCTGCTTATTTTAATATCTCGTGCAGCATTATCAGTGTATTCAGAGCAGATTGTTATGGTTATTGCTTCATGCTCTGTGGGGGTCTTTAAAGACTTAAAGCAGAAAGTCACTTAAATACCTAGTGACTCATAAGAAGCCTAACTGTATTAGCTTGAGTACTGTGGTGCATAGGTACATGCTTATTGTCTTCTGTATGTTTGTTATAGTTATTGAAATATTCCATAAGGGTTTCGATGGTAAGGGAGACGTTCTTTCACTGTAAACTTAATAGGTAACTGTAGCAGAGAGAGCTGCTTTACAGCAAACGTGATCGCATTTACCTAGAGCACGTAGTAAGTTTTTTGTGTAACAGGCTGGAAGCTGCAAAGTGGGGGTTTCTCTTCTTTCGTGGTGCTAGCTGGGTCTCACAGTAGTGTAGTTCCCGTCAAAGCCTTTTAATAAGATAATACACTGCGGTTCTGTGTCCAAAATACCCCTCGTGCTCGATGCCGTGAGTGCGGCGGGGGGAAAGAACAGCTTCCAGCTGGGGCGGGGGGAGGGCTCTCCCTCTTGTCTGTGTGCTACTGTACATCTCTTGTGCCGATTACAAAAGGCGGTATTATGATATCTCATCGCATTTAAAGCAAATTGAATAAGTCGGCTTATTATCTTGCTGCAGCCCCGTCAGCAATTATTTTTAGCAGAGGGGCAGAAGACAGGTCCTTTGTTTTTCAAAGGTTTTTTTTTCGAAACACTGAATTATTTCACTGTAGTTAGTAGTCCTGCATTTCCCAAGTAGTCCTGTTCACGGGTGCTTTCACCGTGAAGCCAGGGCATTTGCAGGGGAAGCCTGGCATGAAACAGCTCCGAACTGAACTAACGTTGCTGCTGCTTTCTAAGTTTGGCTCAGCATGCAGCCCATAAAAGGTAAAAGGTAAGGTGTGGGGAGGCCGAAAAGACACCGGGGAATACAGGCTGCGTGCGTCTGCGTTTCTCTGGCTGCCTACAAGTGAAATCCTGGCGTGGAAATGAGGGTGAAGAGTGACGTTTTTCAAGTTTGCAGAGCTGATTGGAATGCCAGAAATAACTTAATACAATCAGCGCGGCACTCTTGACTCCCTCCCTGAGACGCGTGGCCAGAGAACAAAGGAATTTATAAAAATGAACTAATCACTTCAGTAATAGATGCGACTTTAATTTAAGGTTTATTTTCCTGTGGTTGATGGTCAGTATTGCTGACCTCCCATTGGAGGGTAACTCAGGGAAGGGAGGGAAGGGGAGAGAGCCAGGGAAGATTGTCTATTTTTACTCAATAGTGTGCTGTTGTCCTGATTTCTCTGGCGGTAATGAGGACAGCACGAACTGGTAGGAAAATCACCTCCTCCAAAAGGAGTCCTACACAATTGTATCATGCATCCGTCTTTAGGAACCGGTGTCTGATTGCAATCATTTCGAATGCAGACTTCTTGTGAGCCCAGAGCACCCCACTGAGGAGCACTATTGCTGTACTTGTTTTAAAGTCCAGATTCAATGTAAATCCTTACCCATTTAGCTGTAGGTGGCCCAAGGAGTGTGTATCAGTGTTTTTGCAATGCACAGGCATGCAAGACAAAGGAGTACATCTTAGCTTGAATTTCTTTGTGATAGTGTGTTTACAGAGTGTTTTAAAATGCTTTATATTAATTTCCTGTGCTTTTGTTTCCATTTTTCATTCTGATTACAAAGAGGAGAAGGTGATAAGAAAAATGAATTAGACTTTTCTGTCTTATGAGTCTTATCTTTCCAGTAAAGTGTGTGATTGTTTTGTGTTTATCTTTGGCATACAACCACTGGTTAACAGCACAGTTATTTCTATGCATTGTAGAGATTTCCAAAAAGGAAAGAGAGGGAGTGCAGTAGTTCTTTTTGCTTTTTCAAAATTAGTACAAATTTTCTCATGAACTTCAGTGGCTGAAATTTCATCCCCTAAAGTAAATTTTGAAGTTTTTTAAGCTACCTCTGATTTTAAGATTTTAAATGTAAATGTAAAACCACAATATAAAACTCACTGGAAGAATGCTGGTGTTATTTTTCATGGTGGGATTTTTTTGCTGATTTACTAATTTAGCAGAAGCAATTTAAACCCAAAGAAATCTTTGATGTCTTGTGTTGTTGGCTATGTGTTGGTTCGGATAGCACTCTTTACAGCTGAGAGTGCAATCAGAGAGAGACCTCTAATGGCAGGTCATTTTTCATTTAAGTTCTGCTCAACGTTATACACAGATTTAAAGCCCATGTGAGAATACGCAAGAGCAAGTCTTCCATGCAGCCCCAGTGATACAATTTCAGGCTGATATTCCAGGCTGAAGCCAACCTACAACTGAGCTGTACGTTTCTTTGGTACTGCCTCCATGTGACAGTCATACTCTTTGAAGTACCAAAGCCTTTGACACACTTTTGGTTTCTCAGTATACTTCTACTGTTCCCTCCTACCTCGTTTATTACTTTTCTCAATATTTTCCTTCTCAGTTCAGGTTAAATATAGTAGCCAAAATATGCTGTGGTATGGTTGTGATCAATGAGTTTTCTAGTGAACTCGTTTCTCCCCTTATAGTATTGCTATCTTATTTTGTGTTATAATGGTTAAATGACCAGACTTTGATGAAGGTCTAGTCCAGTTAAAATCTTAATTCTTAATGAAAGAATAAAAGGCTAAGATAATGTTTCAATTAAAATTAATCTGATAATAAAATTTCTTGCCTTTTTTTCCTTTACATAATCTTTTTTGTTTGATGTATTTCTGTTTGTTATTGTCTATCAATACTGTATCAGTCCATATTTCTCTGCCTGCATAAGATTATATGGAAAACTGTTCTTTTTCATCTTATTGCTAAAGAAAATTGATGAATCTATGTGATCTGAAACTTTGAATAGAGGCTACTTTTTGCCCTAGAAGTTGTCAGATAACTTTACAGTTTGACTACCTTGATCATTTCCAGTCTATAGGCATTAAAGATTTGTAAGGATTTGTGAGTCAGAAAATGGTTATGTCTGCATTTATCAATGTTTTGTAGAAAGTTATGCTTTATTTGAAAGAAGGTTTAAACAGAGTTCTAATAATTCCCACGTAGATACTGTGACAGAGATAATCATACATTGTGTTATCCTCAAATACTTCCCTTAATTCTTACTCATTTTACGATGCTGTTAAAGTTTGAGAGATTCCTTATCTCTACTCATTATTGTTTTTAATGTGAAAGAGATACCTCCATTTGTGCCTATGAAAGATTAATTGGAGAAGCTCAGGTGTTCTGTCTCCTTCTGATATTCAGAAGGAATAACTAAGCAACTCTGAAACTGAGATGGAAACAGGAGCTGGGCAGATGAAATGGATGCCTGTCAAAAGGCAGCATGGGTTAAGTTCTAGCTTATCTGCCTTAGCTATCAGAATGTCAGAGCCTGTAACACTTTCCCATTTTGCTTGCAGGGATAAGCCTCTGTCTTAAAAATGTCAAAACAGCCAGCGTCACATGTCAAAGCCATTCAGGTAAGAGACAGTATTTATGTTTCTAATATAACAAAATAATAAATCTCTACCTCAAATGCTTGGAAAACTGCGGTTTTTGCTCAGACAAAGCACCACAAAAGACCTAACTGGGGCTTATTCTTTTAAAGTGAAAAGCTTGCTAGATATAAAAGCACTGAAAAAGTTTGACCTGAAGAGCATCTTATGATCTGAGCTGATCAGATAGGCTGGTTGATCGCTTGTTGCATGGTCTTTCAAGTGTTAGGTTATGTCTGTTGGTGGATCAGCTAAGCAAAACACGGTGATACATCTGCTGATAACTGATCGGTATTATGACTAAATCTAATTCTTGCAACTATTGGATTTTCCACACAGTTAATGTAGTGCTGGAAAAATAGGCTAAAAAGATGGCACAGATATTGTGAAGTTTTTCACGTCTGCATTCCTTTAGAAAAAAAAAAAACACAACTTCCAATTTTTTTAAGAAACCTTTTATTTAAAAGCCAAGGTAAAGTGAGAGAAATGTTAATGTTTTCGTTAAAAAAAATCTTGTATGTATAACACATACCTCCTCAAGCAGTATATGCTCATAAAGATGAAGTTGATTGTCACATATTTGTAAAAAACAACTGAAAAATTTTCAAAACATCATCATGAAGTAGCCCATGAAGAATGTGTTTATCTCGTGCTGTCACTGATACTTGCCAAAAAGCTAAAATACCTGCTGAACTGCAGAATTTTACAGAATTCTCATGCATTTAGTAAAATGCACTTGCAATGAAATTTCCCAATGAGTTTAGGTTCCCTAGAAATTATGTAAGAAACACAAAATGGAATTTCTGAAGTCTGATCTGTCCTGTTTCCCTAAGATAATACTAACTCAGTGGATTGGAGTATCAAGAAGATTAATTGCCCAGTGGCTAGAGAGCATACTGAAGTTGCAAGGCACTGTAAAAATGTTAATTTTTTTATCATCATCAACAATACTGGAAAAGGCATGCAAACTGCTGTACTCTGACTCAGTTGAAATTAGCCAAAGTTTGCCATTGATTTCATTCAGGTGAAATTTTCATCCCTCTTTTACAGTGACTATGGAAATGTTTCTATGATTAATGAAAAATTGTTGATAATTTATAGCTCAAAAGTATTTACATTTTACATTTAAACTCTATAGGCATATGCAGGCATTTTTAAGGAATGAATTTGGTTTGCTTGTTTCCTTAAAGTGAAGAAATATTTATAGACTTCTTTTTAATTTTATGATGACTTTCCAACTTCAAACTGTGAAAAATTGCTACCAGTTTGTCCAGTTAAAAACTGCATTAAGTTTAAGCATTACATGTAATATTTTAAGAAACTTTGATTTTTGCAAAGGTAATTTGAATAATGAGAAAAATTACAGCACAAATTTTAAAATATATCTATTAAACATTGTATCAAAGGTTGCTCCAGCAGGGAGACTTGCACTTGAATCGATGCCTATTACACTTTGAGCACTCTAAGAACCATGACTCAAAATGTCACGTTACTTTTATACGTTGTGATTCATATATTATGATCCTTTGCTATTATGTGCTATTATAGTAGGACTGACGTCCCCTGGGGAATATACATCGTGCTGCAGCAATGGAAATGTAACGGCGCTGTACTAACTGAAGTATTTCATAGTAGTCTGTGTCAGAAGTGAATTCTTTCTGACCATATAAGATGTATGCCAAAATTTTCACTTGCCAACAGCCACTAAATACACATGTGGGAGAATTAAAAGTAGAAACTGGTTCCCCAGAGTGGTTTGGAGCAATATAGGACCAAAGTGATTCCCAAGAGTAGTTCAGGGTGATAGAAGACCAAAGTAGTGTTAATTCCTGGTAACATTCATTGCTGGCCTCTCCCCACTCAGTGTGTAAAAGGCTGTGTATAGCTCTGGCTGACAATTATTCTACTTACAAACGCTACTCTTGGCTTTCCTCAGGGGTAAGAGTGAGTGATTTCCCACATTTTTTCCTGAATTATTTTCAGTTTTGTCTGTAGTTCCTCTATTTTTTTTTAAACTTGCATATGTTTGCACTGAAGTGGCTTTCCAACTTACTCAGTCATGCTTCTGGACAGCTAGGAAGGTTACTCAGTCATGCTTCTGGACAGCTAGGAACGGCTGTGATGGCTGTGTATAGCTCTGGCTGACAATTATTCTACTTACAAACGCTACTCTTGGCTTTCCTCAGGGGTAAGAGTGAGTGATTTCCCACATTTTTTCCTGAATTATTTTCAGTTTTGTCTGTAGTTCCTCTATTTTTTTTTAAACTTGCATATGTTTGCACTGAAGTGGCTTTCCAACTTACTCAGTCATGCTTCTGGACAGCTAGGAAGGGCTGTGGAGAGTTTACCCATAACAGTCCTCAACTCATGCAGGGCTGCCGGTAATTCAAGACCTGATGGTTCCTGTTCTGGATGCCTGGTCTCTAGTAAACAGAAAGAAGAACACAAACACATCTCTACACACCGGCTTAATCGAGTCAAACCGGCTTACAGATATTTTTCCTTCAGTCTGTTCAGGAAGACCTTAGTCCAGTACATCAGTATGCATACCTACTCACTGTGAATACTGCAATGACATCCAAAATATGGTAGGGAATTTCCAAAAACAAAGGACGATGCAAAACCGGTAGTTTTAATAATTATCATGCTTAAGAATAATAATCGCACCTAGAAAGTCTGTCTAAAGCAATTATTATTTAGGATTTCAGGAGTTTGGAGCAAAAAAAAAATAATATCCTGTTTAGCATTTCACTGGATGGGGAGTAGGCGAGGAAGAGATGACTGAGACTCATATTTCAGTTCCAGCAGACAGGTGACAACAGCCCTGAAACGTGTTTTAAAAACAAAATTGCAAACTTGTGATGATGGCAGCACAACACAGTCCTTGCAGAGCTACACTGATGTACAGAATTTGGTCCACCCATTACACAGCTGCTCATCCACAGGAAAGGACCAGCACTGGAATTAGAGGGAGGTTTACAGCTCAGGACTTTGGTACTGGAACTGTTTGGAAGTCAGTCATACTTTCATTTCATACTAGAAATATTTTAATTTATAGTATGTGTTATCAGATCCAGACAGTGTTAAACTTTGTCTTAAAGGCTGCTCGTTTCACCAAGTTAATATTTCATATCTTCAAAATATATCTGCGTACAGCTTGTCCAAACTTTGACGTGAATGCACTTATTGCAGATAAAATAGTTCAAACCTCTTTTGTGTGACACAGAGTACTGTGAAAACACTGAAGCAGACGAAAAAGCGGTTTATTTAATTTAATTAGCAGTCTGGCACTTAGTAGTTCATTTCTGTTTCCTGAGCCATTTTTAGTCACAGCTGGTCTGTCAATCACAGCAGGAAATGCAAGGGCTGGGTATCAGAGTTTACCGCGCTGTGGCATGCCCCGGGTGGCCGTGGGAGGCTGGCTTCTGCTTTTACTGACTCCAAGGGGAAGGAATGCCTGAGTTCAAAACGAGCACCAAGAGGAGAGATAATTCTTAATGGTTCAGCTCTGCAAGTTTGTATGACCAGGCTAGCTGTAAAGCACAAAGAAGTTTTGTATTCCAAAAAAAGAACCTGCCCGGAGGTATTGGAGGCTGGTGGGGGAGATGCTTAAAATTAGAAATAGCAAAGCTGGTTTTTTCCACTCCTAAATGAAATAATGGGTTAAGTACTGTGAGGCTGAAAATGTGCTGTCTCCTGGGAACTAAGGAAGTGCAGGTGAAAGGTTTCACAATATCTAAACTAATGCTTAGTAGAAAAGCATTATGAAATGAATACCCAGTTGTCTATAAAATACGTGGCCCTACAGACTTTTGCCAGCCCTGCTGAAATGGCAGCATTACCTTGCATAAATAAAATAAAGGGAAATTGATAAATAGAATACAGGGAAAGGTACTTATTTCTTGGCAAATGGATTCTTAATTTGCTAGACGTTAGATTGCAGCTGTCAGAACAGTTGCTGTTACTGAAAACAGTGGGATGTTTTCCTGTGGTTGCCCAACCTGGGGCACGATCTACAAGACCACGATTTGAGCAGAAGAATGGGATTATTCATCTTCATTTAATGCAAATCAGTCAGATGGTAAACTACAATAGCACAGCTTGCTATTGGAAGGTTCTCTGTTTCCGCTCCATAACATTACCGATTCACCCCATGGTTTTACCAGTGGGAGTCATGATATTTTGATGACATTTCCTAGGAGCAGCATCTCTTCTGAGATCACAAGATAAGAATAGGTATAAATTGTGCATTTAGTTGATCACACCATTTGACTTTTAAAATAATCCAGGCTGGGTCACATCAGGAAATAGATACATTTTAGTTGCTCTTTCCAGAGCAATGTTTTCCGCTATCATTTTATCAAAAATCTTTACTTTTAAGGTATCTATTATAAGCCCTGTTTATGCTATGGCTACTGGCCTCCTGCCACAGATAAAAAAATCAGACTGATGCAGTCATTTGGGTACCGTTCTGCAGGGGGTTTGCTAAAGCTGGGAGCTAATGGTCTCTACAGCATTGGAGCTGGCTCAGCCTGCTCCGACCCATCAGCCCCCACTGCAGACCGGGCTGGAGTGGCTGGGCAAAACCCAGCAGGAGCTGGAGGGTCAAAAAACCTTTCTGCATTTTCCCTCTTTGGAATGAAGAGGTCTGCATTTGCAGTTTGTAGCAGCTGTGGGTAAATTGTGTCAGTAAAATCCCATTTGAAACACTCGTGGCTTAAGTTGGCTCATGATGGGCTTTCCTTCTTAACTACCTGTGATTAACAGAGATCAGAACTGGTGTCACTGGTGGAGGGAGAGCGGTCCAGTGGTTTGGGCGTTACTGTAGGATTTGTGTGATTTACGCCTCAGTGCTGATTTTAGTACTCACTTTCTGTTTGACCCTGACCAAAGTGAAGCAGACACAGGTGCCTAAAGACACATCGGTGTCTAGTACTCATTTGTTTAAGGTCCAATGAAATCAGGGAGCATTAGACTACAATGCAGAACTTCAAAAGCTTTCTAGGTAGCTTTGTTTTTTCACTTTCCGTCTTTAAAATGGAGATGAAAGCACTTCTCTTTCCCATGGGAACCATGTAAAGATGCTTACGTTGAAGGCATAAGTGCTCAGAAACAACGATAATGTCTATACTCGTCTCCCACCCCTTTAGCGTTACACCATTTACCAACTGTATGTCTATTTATCAATCACTATTACATGCATTATAATTTCCTTCTCGCAGGCTAATATTAACATCCCAATGGGAGCATTTCGACCTGGTGCAGGCCACCCTCATAAAAGAAAAGAACTTACACCTGAAGAAGTGGAGGAGGTAAGATAAAAAGGTGGTGGGCTTTTTTTAATTTTTAATTTTTTCCCCAGAACAATCTCTGCCACTGAAGGAAGAAAGCCTTTTAGTCAAGTTACAGCACTACATACCAATCTTAGGTAACACAACTGAACATACATTGATCATTCATGGAAATAATTGGTCATCTACTGAACGCATATATACATTGTTCTGGTTTTGATCCCAAGGCACCTATAGGAATTTAAACTCTTTCAGAGGTGCATAGCTCTGCTTTAACAGCAGGATGATATCTGCTGACAGGAAAGCCAGCCACGGTTTCATCAGCAGTATTTATAGAGGCTGGAGTTGACAGGATACAGCAGGAAAAGTTATAGCAAGGCTTTGGAAGAATCTGCTGCTACCTGCTGCCCTGCAAAGGGATTTATTGTTACAGCTTAACAATATTGGAACAGGTTTTCAAACCTGACACTTTTTGGAATATTTATCAACAAGTAGAGATCAAAAGTGAAGACCACACATTTGCAAATTAAAAACAGAATTTGAGAGCCCATTTACCTGCATAGGGGGAAAGTAATCCATTTTAGATTGAGTTCTGTGTTTGCATGCCCGTATTTTACACTGGCTATTTAAGACTGAGTCCTGAATAAGAAGTCAGATTTATACCTTAACCAACACTGATCACAAAGGTTATGATTAAACACAGATATCATATTTCTGGATGTTAGTAAAACATCTTATTTACCACAAACTTTTATATTAAATAAGGACTAAAACCAACAGAGAACGAGGTAGCGGGATACTCCAAACAAGGAAAAAATGCGAGTGAAGATGAGTGTTTATGGCTTCTTGGACATCTGGCTTAGTTTAGATTTATAATGCCCACCTGCGAACTGGTCCTGCTGGGCCAGAGCGGTGGAGGGTCCCCAGAGCCAAGGGCAGGAAAGGCTCAAACTGATCCCATGCAGCTGGGCTGCTGCTGGCAAGACTCGGCCAGGTGGACTTGCTGCCATCTGGGTGAAGCCTAGTTGTCATGGCTGGAAGGAGTCTTCTCCTCACACAGAGCAGAGCCATGAGGACCAGGAGGGAGGTGGATAGCCACTTCTCTCTGGGGCTGTGGTGGCACCTCTGCTGTTTCAGCCCTGAACAAGAAGCAGCCAGATTAGTTTTGGACAAATCATCAGCTCCTTCTGACCTGGTACTGGTACTTAAAATGGTCAGGTTTAGTTATGTAAGAGCTAATTCTTCCTTTTCTGTCTAAATCAAACCCATGTCTTCCTGAATCTCAACATATTTGATATAAATAGCATTCTGTTTAAACAGAACTTTCCTGAAGAAATCAAACACAGGCTGACTTAACTCTTCTTCAGAAGATTTTAAAAAACAAACCCAAACATACAAAGTGACCTTGAACACATATTGTGGCTTTCTCCCCTGGAGAGAAATCAAAGCATATTCTCTCTGCAGTAATTAAACTGGAGAAGGAACGCACGTTATCAAGCAGAAACTAATATTGCATGTGTGAATTCTGGTAGTATTTGAGAAATAAAATAAATGACTAGTGCTGATAATTAGATTTGGTTGGGTAATTGAATATTGCTTTGCTTCTCGGTTATGTGAATACTGTATATGAGATAGACATTATGGAATGAAAGTTCTTGGCCCCGGTTTTATAGCCAATATGCAACCAAAGCAATGGGAGTAAAGACTACAAAAACAGATCTTGTAATTGGAATAGAATAAAAACGCTACCAGTGGACTGACTTACCATTTCAGCTTTGTCATCTCGTCAAGTTTTGCCATACAGCTCATGATTCTTTAGATCAGCTTTAGACAAATACAGCTTTTGCTTACAGTGCTTAGCATTTTCCACTGTATTTTAAAACCTTGGCAAAGGAGTTGAGGGAAATATGGGTATTACTCAAAGGCATGGTGGAGTCAGAAGGGAACGCGTATTTTTGAAGATCAATGGAGCAGACATGTTAGCATACAAAAGAAATGGGGGGTGGGAATTTCAGAAAATAACTCTTCAGTCAGAGCATTTCCATGCATGTATTTGTTAACTCTTGTCGTATATCTAAGTCACTCTTCAGAGTTCCGTCAATAAAACTGAAGGCCAAGGTCTGATCTTAGCTATGCATTGCACACAAAGTGAGTGATATAGGGAGGGATGCAGTCATAAATAGCACACACCCGAGATTAGATGGGAAAGCTAACATCAATTTATGGAGAGCAAAGTATCCAAAACACGGTCAAAGTTTGCACTGTTCGTACTACAAGAAGGGATGCTATTGGACATGGCTTGAAACAGTACTTTTAACACAGTATCTGCTATGAAGGTTTGAGGGATGGTAGTTTTTCCTGATTATTCAGATTAGTTAGATGTGCAAGAAAACTGTCAAAGGCAACAACACAAGCTGATGGCGTCTTTGACTGTGGATACGATTTTGTGCATCCCTTCAAACAGCTTCTGTATCAATTTACTTATTCTCCTGCTGTGCTTTGCTACTGTTCCAGGATGTAGATCATTAAGCCAGATATTAGACAGTATATATAGTATCTGGAGCTGGACTAATGACTGGGATTTTAAATGATCAAAACAGAAACAACTGTATGATGTTATTAGCATTTTCTTGTATTAACTAATATCTAAAAAATGAGAAAGTATTAACTAAAAAGTGAGAAAAAATAATACAAGTTTACTAAGCCAAGCAATATAATTGTTGCTTCAATTTTCTTATATATGGCAATCTCTAGAAAGTTTGCAAAGATCAGATAAGAAGAAAATGTCAGTTTTCTAAAATTCCTTGGTTTTTTGCTACTTGACATTGCAAAAAGTCTGCTTCCTGTTTAGCACGTAGTTCATTAGTCAACAGAAAAAGGAGGGTTTACTGGCCAATAATATTTGACAGATATCTTTGGAATTTTAAAAATTAAGTCAAATACTAAGAATTGACTGTTCACAGTCAGTACCCCTTTCCAAAAAGGGTGGCTAATAAATCTAAATACTGAATTAACTTCAAAAAGCCCATCCCAAGAGGAGTAAACAAAAAAGAAAAAAATTATTTCATTGTGAAATTATTCACAGTAAAATATTAATTCATCTCTAAACCTACATGATTCTCCCTGTATGCCAGCTTTATAAAATATGAAACAGGCTGGAACAACCTTAAACTCCCTACTGGAAAACTACTCCTTCAAAACATTGCTCAGTCTAGAATAGAAATTGTATAAAATACATGCTCTACCTCATCTAGGAGCAGCAGTACAGCTGAGGTACAAAGGACTGAAATACACTGTTCCACTGGGAAATTAGCCGAGATGCTCACTATTGTGTAAGTGCTGTTATTTAGCTTATATTTTTAGTGTGTCAACAAAATAGCCATCAGGTACTACCTTAATTCAAACATAAAATGATAAAACCCCTTCTGGTCTTACAGCTAAGGTTCAGAACAATTAAACATCAACTCAAGCTGAGTTTGGATGGAGCTTTTGGTGTCCATAACCTACTATCATAACTCTTCTCTAGAGCTGCAGAAGTGCGTGATGGTTTTCTTCCCCGGCTGGCCAGCAACTATGAGACACTGAGAGAAATTAGATGATAGAAATGGTTATTTTACTTGTTTTCCCTAAAATTTGAAGGACCTGAAACTTATCTTTAATATTCTACTTTGTTAATTTTCCACTGTAAATTCTTACTCATTTACCAAAAGATCCACGTTCCTCTGCACTGAACACCTTCTAATTTTTTTCAGAATATTTTTAGACATTTTAGACAACAACCAACAAAATAACCTGTTTAGATAACGACCAACAAAATAATCTTCCTGCCTGCCCACACTCCAATTTCCATTGGGATTGTATTTAGTATAAAAGCATCCTTCCCTGTTTCTCAAACAACTGACCTATGTTCATGCTCAAGAGATTGCTCTTGTGGCAGTAAGGTCATGGATATCCTTTTGTACAGAGTGTTCCTGCTTCGACAGAGGAGGAGAAAGACAAGAAACATCTCCCAGGAGCTAAGAAACTTCCAGGTCCTCCTGTCAACTTGTCAGAGATTCAGAACATAAAGAGTGAGCTGAAATATGTCCCCAAAGCTGAACAGTAGCTGGAACAACAGGTGAGTAAAACAGGTTCTTTGGATGGCTCTAGGAGAAGCAGGCTGATGCAGAAACCTCTTTGTGTGAAAAGGTGGCTTTCTGATTGCTTCAAAGGACCTGGAGTAACACCCCATATTTCAAAATATAAGAAAAAAAAGTTCATAATCCTTGAAACATGGAATTCTCTGTTGTTTCAAACAAGGAGCATGTGGAAGACTATATATGATGATATATGGCACCCACCAGCAGGTCTAACAAAAAGTGTATTCAGCTGTTAGGAGTGTTGAAGCCAGCTTAAAAATCTGTAAATCAAAACTGATATGTTAATAGCTTCATGTATTTGATCACACAAACATGCTCAATGCTACTTGTGACACCCAAGGACTTGCTATATATCTGTCCAGGGCTCGGAAATATGATATAGGACCTTGGGGAGATGTGTGCTCCTCTGGAATGGCAGCTGGAGACCAGGCAGTGACCCTCAGGCACTGCAGGCAGCACCAGAAACCTACGGGTTGAGCCACTGGTCTATGACTAACACCACAGCTCACACTTCATCTTATTTTATTTAAAAGAAAATCTTCAGCACTTTGAGGCAGATCTCAGAATTATTTTAATCTAATTTCAAACAAGGCCTATAAGCCTCTGTTGTTCTATGTTCTGAGCCCTAAAGAAATTAATGATCATTTTTGTCCATGAAATTATCCTCTGATTTTCTTCAAAAAGTCTGTGTCAGTAAAGATGCATCAAGCAGTTACAATGAAAATTCAGCTTTAAAAAGAAGTTTCAATACAAAAAGAAACCCCTGGCTACAATAAGAAAAAAATAGTTGTGTCACATAATACTCATCTGAATTGTCACTTGTGCTTATTGACATAAGTCCTTTTTATCATGAAGAGACAGAGGAGCTAAGCTGAGGAGAAGAACATAATCTAGAATTTAGTGCACTGAAATATAAATGAAGAACAGAAGAAAACAGAAAGCAGTGCATCAGGGTTCTGGGAACGCAGAAGAGCTATGGATGAGGAATCTTGAAGTAAATGGCATATATTCCAAGTGAATTGCCCCAATGCACAATGCAACATTAACTTATTTTTATGTGCAGTATAAATATGCCATTTAGAAGGAAAAAGTGTTTAGTTTCTTGTTTTTTACCCTGCTGTGTCATAATGTTCCTGTTATTTTAAAGAAACAAGAGTCTTTCTCTTCAGAAAACTTGGGAAAAGGAAAATTAACATTTTGTAAAATGTAACATTGTAGTCATTGCACTAAAGCAGTGCCCAGAGAAATATGAATTTTTTAATGTTGAGGCTTTAAGGAGTTTTTTCTCTGTAAAAGATATTTAAATGTAAATTTAACCCCGTATTTATTCTCAATGTATAAAACACTTTTTTAATAATCAGCTTACTGGGAGTCTGACAAAAACATTTAGGGTGCGCACAACAATTCACCCTAAAGAATGGATTTCTACAGAAAGGTCAGCAAAGGGCATCTTGAAAGCTGTGAGGTCATTATGAAGTAACTTTTATCTGCATCATTCTTTCAATGTTGTCTTGGTTGTCAGGTTCTGACAGTGACACAGATTTCTAGGTTTTGGGTAGGGCAGTCACAGATCACATCTGAAAACTTAGTTTCTACAAGTGTTGAAGACACAATACTCACTGAAGAGTAGGAGTTTGGGCTTGGTTGCAGTGCAGAACTAAGCATGTGCATAATTTCTGCATAAAATTGTGATGTAAATCAATCACTTGTCATATAGAATCATAGAATGGTTCAGGTTGGAAGGGACCTTAAAGACCATCAAGTTCCAACCCCCCTGCCATGGTCAGGGACACCTCCCACTAGAACAGGTTGCTCAAAGCCCCATCCAGCCTGGCCTTGAACACTTCCAGGGATGGGGCATCCACAGCTTCTCTGGGCAACCTGTTCCAGTGTATCACCACACTCCCCGGAAAGAATTTCTTTCTAGTATCTAATCTAAATCTCCCCTCTTCCACTTTAAAACCATTACTCCTTGTCCTGTCACTACACTTCCTGACAAAGAGTCCCTCTCTGGCTCTCCTGTAGGCTCCCTTCAGACATTGAAAGGCTGCTATAAGGTCTCCCTGGAGCCTTCTTTTCTCCAGGCTGAACAATCCCAGCTCTCTCAGCCTGTCCTCACAGGGGAGGTGCTCCACCCCTCTGATCATCTTCCTGGCCCTTCACTGGACCCGTTCCAACAGATCCATGTCCTTCCTGTGTTGAGGACTCCAAAGCTGGACACAGTACTCCAGGTGAGGTCTCATGAGCTCAGAGTAGTGGGCAGCCTTGAATGGTACTAAATCTAAGGATTGTCCCCTATAGAGGACATTCACTGGTTCAATTGTTTTAGGCGTAACCTGTAGCCTTGTATAAAATGTGATGTGGTCAGTGAATTGTTTTATGACTGGCCATGCCAAGCCAGTGAAGACTTTCTGTATTTGCAAGAAATGCACGCTCACATCTGCCTGATACTTTCCTTCATCTCCAAGAATCATCATCCTTTGGATGTGATGCTCTCTAAAGAATGGTCAATAGAATATGCCTGTGCAGAGAGCATACTGATAAATGAGTACATTCTTTGGTTTTCACAGTTTGGAAATGAATTTTTTCCTCACATCAGTACAATAAACTCTTCAGATATTCACTGTTGAGGGACTTCCCTTTGTTAGTATTTATTAATTACTTGTGGTCCTCTATAGGAAATAGCTACTGAAACTGGTAGAATAACTGCAAATTCACCAGATAATTTCCATTATGCTGTGATCCTATAACATGATCTTATAGAAGTATCAAAAATATACATAAATATGTCAAAAATACCAAATGTTTTAAAACTACAACAACTATTTCTAACACTGCCTCTTAGTAGTGTCATTAGTCATTGGATAGTTTCAGTAAATTGCAAGTCAGCACCATCAATTTTGTTTTAATTTTGATCCATGTTTTCATGCTTGGTTTTACAGAGTGCAAACTCATCAGCAAAAATAAGGAACCTGCAAAACAGTGGGTTGGTTCATTATTTACAAACCCATTCCTACATAATTTGCACTTTAGAATAACTTCTGTTAAATATCTTTGGTCTTGCTCTTTCACCAAATTAGGAAACATGAATAGACTTGCTAAGGTCATAGTTGTGAGTCTAACAGTTTGTGGGAGGGATATAATTAGTAAGATGTCATGAAGCTGGATCCACTGAAGGTCATGAAGTGCTTATCAGTTAAGATATTCCTGTAGTCATCCCCAGCTGCTGGTCTATCACGTATAATTAACTAATTAGCGTACTCTTCTTTGTCATAAAGGTTATTGTTGTTTTCTTTTTTAACAGACCTGCAGATGATGTATTTGAGGCAGCTAGTTTTAATATACAACATGAGTTGTATATTCATTTTTCTTTTCTTCATCTACAATTTTTTTTTGCTGCTCGTTTTGCATGTGTTCATTTCTACCTGCGTAAGAGCAAAACATATGCAAAATAAAATAGTAATAAAATAGCACAGGCTAATCAACTAAATATGTGTTCTATTGAGTAAATAATAGTAGAAAGCATTCAATTTGCGACCAATGGAGCCTCCTGAGATTTATTGCTGACTGTTGTGATATCTCATGTGATAACTAGTACGGTGATTGTACCTGAAAATGGGCCTAAGCAGAAACTGGCATTTCACCTGAGAAGATACATAATTGCAACCAGTTACTGCTGCAACTCATGTTTAGTTTTTCTTCATTAGTACCCCTTCACATTTTGTTTTCTGAAGTGTTGGGGTGTGTGTAACAAGACTTTTTACAAAGTGCCGTAAGGGCCATGGAGTCTGAATGCTGGACCTTTGTTTTAAACAACCTAAACCTTCAGCTGGAGTGGTCTAGTCTTTTCCTCTTGAAGGAGACTTTCATACTTACTGAAGGAACTTATAAAACGGCAAAAAGGGAAATTTACTGCCTTGAAGTTAAAAAAGTGTGTCGCGAACATACGGGCAGCACTCCTGGCGCTGCGTTCTGGTCGTGTTTGGAGAAAATGCTTGTCAGGATCCCCATCACAGTTCTACTCAGAATTTAGTCAGAGAAGGCTGCTGAGCCATGCCAGGGCTGTTCCTGACAGGCTGTTCCTATCATGTTTAAGGTGTGATAAACCATGCAACTGGTACTTGTAGATAATCCGTTGTCTTTACTTGAAACTCTGCTAAGGAGGGTAGTTTAATTGCGGAAGCTGAGAGGTAGTTCTCTTGTCAGGTTACAGAAGCAAGGGAGCTGTATTTTGAGGGCAGAAGATAAAACAGCCAGCAAACGCTTCCCAGGGAAGCTTAGGCTTTGTATTACTTGCAGCATTATCTCTTCTATAATATATTGGGAATCCTGCTTCACAAAAACTGAAGAATTTTGTCATCAGCGTCTGAGATTGGCATCACTTGGGGAAGAAAGAGTGAGAAAGGCAAAAAAGAAGTCCCCTAAGGAATAGCACTCTTATATTCATGCTTACAAGATGTTCCTTGGTGTTGCTATTAATTATTTACAAAAAATGTCAATTACCCTGGGCTAAAAATACACATTATAACTTTGTCCACTGAGTACTGCAGATTTTAATTACAGTTTCATGCTATATGCTGCTCTTCAACTGCATTTCAGTTAACGGTAGCCATCTACCCCTCCCGATGTCACTGCTCTGCCATACTGTTCAATGACTGTGTCTTACTCCTGTGCTCTCGTGGACCAGAGGGATACACTTAAACTGCTCTACAGTAAAAGCAAAGATATTGCCATTTTGTCCAGAAAATACATCCAGTGTTCTTGCTAGTAGAGGAACCCTGACACGCTGCGAGCTCTTGAAACAGCCCCCCAGTTTTAAGAAAATGTGTCTCATTTTCCCAGAAAAAAAAAAGCCCAAGTAGCCAGCCTTCACAGGACAGAAGGGAATTTTATGTCCAGAGGATGCCATGGCAAGTCAGGAGCTCAGATCTCCTTAGCTGGAGTTGGGGGAAATGGGGTGAAAAAGGAGGATGGGCTG